GAGGGGAATGGGAAAATAAACAGAGAGAAATGAAATACAGTAGATGTGGTAGAGAGAGAAGATGGGAGGGGAGGGGAGGGGGGATAGTGGAGGATAGGAAAGGTAGCAGAATACAACAGTCACTAATATACGAGTTTCTTTATGAGTTGAGGTTATATATACTTTTTAAAATTTTTTCATTTTATATGTTTGAAAAGAATTGATATTTTTTCCCTTTGTTGAGGTAGGGGGAACAAACTTCAAAAAAGCAAAAGTAAAATAGATGCCAAAATATCATTTTTGTTAAATATATCTATATATAAATTAAAAATAATAAGCTTTTGGCAAATGACACACACACAAAAAAAGATTTTTTACATAAAAATTCATATACAAATTCATGGATGTGAAAATAATTCATGCTAAAATATGGCATTCTCTAAACACAATTCTTCTATATATCTCCAGCATTTATATAACACTAATATAGTAACCATATCTACAGAAATTTTATTAGGGAGAAATGTAGTATGTATTATTGATATTGAAATGAGGACAAATTTCCCTAGAAAAGCTCAATAAGATTCCCATGCAATCTCATTAATTTCATTCTTGAAAATCTTTACATGAAAATAAGTGACAATTCTGTGATTTAAAAGAAAATATTCCTCAAAATAGGCCACTGACATCTTCCCATATTAATTCTGCTAAAACAGTTACAAGTTTAGCTAATCTTAAAGTTGGCCAAATACAGGCTTAATACAGTTATATAGTTAATAGATTGAAATATATAGTTAAGTGATGGTGTAATTAATGCAGGGATAAATTTATTAAAAATTCGTATATAAATTCTATTTTATTATAAATATTCCAACAATGTAGAAGTAGGTATATTAGAAACTGGAATTTCTTGTATAAATTAATCTTCTAATTTCCTGAACACCCTTACTTCTCAGTGGTAACCTGTTTTCATATTTTACTGAATTTTATTCCTGAAATGTTGTATATTATACATTTAGATTCACTTATTGAATATTTTAACTACTCTCATAATTCATAAAAATTAATGCTATTTTCAGATATTTTAAAACAAAACTACCATAGATATGCTCTCTCTATATGTTAATATTTATACACACATATATTTTTTTCATATGTGTATTCTTGTAAATACAAATTTTTAGAATTGAAATTATTATACAAAAATAACAAGAGGGACAAAATACAGTTCAAATTTTGTGAATGCCATAACATTGTCTACTAGAAGTTTATGGCTATTGATATAGATAATCCTTTTTATGAAGTATCATTTGTTCATGTTCTTTGCTTTATCCTTCTCTGGGTAAGAGTATGCAGTATTTTTATTTACTATGCTTTTTTTAACCAAATCATTTGTCAGTTTAGTAGGGTTGTTTGTTTTATTTTAATAATTTTCTAAAATAAATTGTATATTCTAATTCTTAAGATTCTGTTAATTATAAAGTTTATTATCTGCTTTTATACTTTGTTTACAGTATTGTATCAAAGGACCTCTTGTTTTGCTTTGGTAAATTTCCCAATCTGATTAAAAGATGATCCTAATAGATTTTCATTTACAAGAGTTTTTATTTATGTTTATTGTGCTAATCCAAGTAGAGTAATTTTTTCCATTATTGTGCTCACATAATTGTTTTCTTTTCTCAATGAATACTTATTAAATCTAAAATATTTCTTGCCTATTGCCTATTATCTCTCTTTATTTGAATTCCAAGGTTTCATTGTTTCCAGAGGTTTTTCCATTCCATCAATTAATATAAGCATTCATATCAATTTAACTTACTGGTTTATACTTTTTTTTTCAAAAGTTGATTTTCACTAAATAAGTAAATAAATATATTTCTTTGCACTTTATTTTACCATTGTTTCATTTATCCAGAATTGTTACTATAATTTGAGAATTATTTTGTATTACGGTCACAATATCATATTGTTTTATTTTTAATCTGTTAGTATGTGAACTGTATTCATATATTTATTTATGTTAATTATCCTCAAAATTGTAGAATTAAACCTACTTATTTAATTAAGTAACATTAATTCCTAAAAACATTGGTAAAACCGATTTCCTAAGGCTTTGTCTAAAGTCATTTGTCTCTGTTTTTATAAGTGAAACTATCTTGCAAAGAGTTATGTGTGTGGGTGTCTTGTTTGGATATCATGAAATTACTTGTGAGGGAAAGTCCCAGCACACACTCACTGACATCCTGCCTAAAGTCAGCACCCATTATTACATTCAAATTATTAACCCATGATGAATTAATCCACTGATTAGGATATAGCTCTCATAATCTGCTCATTTTACCACTGGATATTCCTGCACTGTCTCACACGTGAGTTTTGGGGGAACACCTAATGTACAAATCAGAAAATCATGCAAATGATATCTTCTTGGATTGAACTTTCAAGCATTTTCTATTTTCCATATATTTGAAACAGTTTATATAAAATGCAATTTTTGTTTTTACTGAGGGTTTGGTAAGGACTATATTGCATGTGTAAATTGCATGCGATGGTTTTAATAATATTATTTGTAATCACTATAAGGTTATGAGATAAATGCTTTGGGTTCTGAAATAATTGGTTTTCTAATAAATCTTTAATCTTTATACCCCATAAAGACAAATCATACTGACTTTTTTCCTACTTTTAATTGTTTTTTATTAGAGCAAGTACTATTTGGTTTCATTTTGAAAACACAATACATACAAGAAATGTGATTCTAATTCCTATTACCCCCTTTTCCCTCTCCTCCTCCCTCTCACTTTAATCCCTCCTTTACTCTATTGATCTTCCTTTCACTCCTTTATTTATTTATTAAATTCCATTTAATGTATTTATATGTGTCTTTAACATGATTTTGTTAAATTAATTTCTATTTCTTCCCATTTGATTTCTTTTTTTTTTTTTAAAGAGAGAGTGAGAGAGGAGAGTGAGAGAGAGAGAATTTTTATTATTTATTTTCTAGTTCTCGGCTGACACAACATCTTTGTTGGTATGTGGTGCTGAGGATCGAACCCGGGCCGCACGCATGCCAGGCGAGCGCGCCACCACCTGAGCCACATCCCCAGCCCCCCATTTCATTTCTTTCCTAACTTCCTCTCACTCTCCTTCTTCTACTCCATTAATCTCCTCTGTATCTGTATGATATCCTGTCCCCTTTCCCAGGGCCTTTTTTCTATATTTTGCTCTAAGTTCCACAGATGAGACAAAACATTTGACACTTGATTTTCTGTGTCACTTCTTTGACTTAGACAGATTTCCTCCATTTCCATTCATTTACAAGCAAATGCCATTATTTCATTCTTCTTTACAGCAGAGTAAAATTACATTATGTACAACTAAGTTATTTTTTGTCCCATCATCTATTAGTGGGCATCTGAGCTGATTCCATAATTTGGCTAGTGTGAATTATGCTGCCATAGCATTGAAGTAGCTATATCTCTGTAGTTATGGTGATTTAACCTCTTTTAGGTAAGCTCTCTTGGTATTACCAAGGCATGGGTTAGCTGTGTCTTATGGTGGTTCCACTCCTATTTTTTTTTTTTTTTTTTTAGGAATCTCCACACTGCTTTTCATAGAGAGTGTACTAATTAATATTCAGTCCCACCAGCAATGTAAGAATGAACCATTTACCCTTATATCCTCATCAGCATTTACTATTTTTCAGGTTCTTGATAATTGCTATCCTGATTATAGTGAGAGGAAACCTTAGTCTAGTTTTGATAGGAAGACCGAAATATTTGTAAAAAAAATAAAGTTTAAAATATAATTTCTAAAACAATCAAACAAACAGAAACCTCATCTAAAACACTAATAAGTGATGATACTCTTTACCAGAAAATTAAAAAGATGCTTTTAAAATCAATAAAACTGCACTGGAGGTACAGTTCAGTTCTACAGCACATTCTTTGCAAGCTGAAGCTGTGGGTTCAACCCTCAGCACTGAATGTGAAAAGAAAGCAAGCAAAAGAAAAGAACAAACTGCATCCTTTTCAACCATGAGATATGACTAGATATCCAGATTTGTCCTGCCATTTTCAACCAATATCATCCATGTTTATCTATTTACTAAGAATGAAGCTAGTAAGGATACAAATGTGACACGACTCGTGACTCTTTTATTCACAGCACATTCAAATTTACTATAAATTAGAGCAAATCTTGAGTAATCATAGACTAATTCTGAAGAACACTTTAATCAAATCGTGGAAACTATTACAATCAGATGAAACATTTATTTTATGATTTCCTTTTGTCAAAAATATATTCCTTACAAATAGGATCACACTGCAACATTACAAAAGATTAACAGGGGTTTCATTAATTTTACAGTCTCTATCTGCCTCTATATCTGGAAATTACCAAAATTCTCTCAAAACTTCACATCTGATGGCTGCTAACACTGAAAATGTTGAGAAAATGCAGTAATTTTTCTTTCTCCAAGATTTAGTTAATTTTTGCATCACTATAATCAAAATACCCCTCAAGAACAACTTAGAGGAGGATAAGTTTATTGGGTGTTTATGGTTTCAAATATCTCAGTCCTTAGATGGAAGGCTCTATGTTCTGCTCAAGTGGCACATGATGGGAGGAGAAGCCAGCAGAGGAAAGTTGCTTAGTTCATGGAAGAGTCAAGAGGCAGATGTCAGGGAGGGATCTCTGGAATGTACACCCTTCCAGGGTCACATTGCCCAGTGACCCACCTCCACCTACCACATACCACCTCTTTACACTTACCACCCAGTCATTTCATTCAAACTAGGAAGGACTGATTAAGTTATAGCTCTCACAATCCAATCTATGAATCTTCCTGCATTAACAGGAATTATAGAGGGACATCTTATATTCAAACAATAATACTAAATTCTTTAGTCAAGGATCAAATGAATACTTAGCTTATATGGACAACTATTATATTTTACAAATGCCAAAACTTTTGCCTTTTTACTCCATTGGTTTTGTTGAACTTTTCTTTTTCTTTTTTAAATAGGGAACACTTCACGAATTTATGTGTCATCTGTGTGTGGGGACCATGCTAGTCTTCTCTGTGTCACTCCAATTTTAGTATATATGCTGCTGAATTAAGCAGCTGTTGAACTTTTCTTAAAGGTGTTTTAAGTAGTTAAATATTCTGCTCAATACACGAAAATCCTGTGGGGAAAAGTTAGGTTTCTTAATGCTCAAAAGCTAATATTATTTTCCAATCTGTAAAATTATTATTAGTAATGATATGCAAATAATGTGATATAGCTTGATGTTGCTTGAGTTTCATTAAATTTACACTCAGATTTTTTTTTGTCTGATAAAAATAAACAATGTCTCTTATCTGACTTCATGACATTGACTTTTGAATACTTTTTTGCTTTAAACGTTGATGCATTGTTTGCTAGCGTAACGTATGCTTGGACAAGTTAGAAACTAAAGGATATGCTAGATTTTTAGAAACTTGAAAAATAAATTCTTTGAAATCAGAAAAATAGTATAAATTCCATACTATATAATTAATTTTCAACTATTTAAAAACACTTGGTTTACAGTAGTTGAAACTTCTTGAAAAACACACAAAAATATACTTTCCATTATATACTATATGAATTTATAACCCCAGATCCATGATGGAACTCTGGAAACAACACATTGGCATTAAATTTTATTTCAGAGCTTATAAAGAGAAGGAAAAAAACATTTATTTTTGTAGTCCTAATAGACAGAATTATGCATTTGCTTTATTCAAAGATAGTATCAAATAATTAAGAGAACCAGCTAATACAACTATTTCACCCAACTGGAAATTATTTCTGAATAATCTTAACATTATTCTAACTAATTTCATGTCTGAAATAGAGTATGTAGCCACTCTATTTTATCAAATATTATTGAACAGTATTCCATTGTGTAATTGTCATTTTAAGTTTTTGCATAAAATGATGAAAGTAAAATTCAATGAGCTATATTGTTAATTTAAGACACTGAAGTTTCCAAAAATAAACAGAACAGTTCTTCAGGACTTAAGTTTTACTTAAATTGAACAGCATTGCTGGTCATATGAATTCAGTAGTAATTGGTAATTAACCCTGAAGACTGGGTGAATAGAAGGTTGACTACACATAGCATACTGCTACTGAGCTGCAATTTGTTACCAATGACCTCTTTGCTTCTTAGTGAAATTTTAAGTATAGATTTCTGTTTCTAAACTCTGATATATTTTGGGGCTTAGTTACCTTGGAGATTTTGTCTCTACCCTTGCCAGAAAAAGGATAACTTGAAGATACCAGTTTTCCAGTTCAGAAAATTTGAGAAAATAACGGGTTTTCCTTTGAAATACACTCATAGTTCAAGATCTCTACTATAGATTGAAACAACATCATCTTCTATTGATACCACATCATCAACAGCTGCGTTTCACTGTTAAAGGACAGCCTGCATTGATTCAATGCAAATTGTGACCAGGACTTTGCCTAAAGCTTTTGTAGAGGATCTCTCTTAATCTTCATAATAAATAAATGAATAAATAAACCAATAGTGCACAACTAAGGACCTCCCTTTTTACAAATGAGAAAATTGACCTTGTTGAACACAGTCTTTTAGGTGTCAGAATTTCCAGTCTATTTCACAGTATACATTATCAGAAAAATCCTTCCTACCTCTTACCTCACATGTATAAAACATGTGAGTATGTAAAACATGTGAGTATGAAATGTAAAGCTCACATACTTCAGTGAGTTTCCCTCAGATCTCTTGTGTGTAACAAGGACAATGTT